TCCTAAAGATGTTAAGAGAAAAATGAAAGACAGTCCTTCACCAGGAAGAGATTTAGCACGAAACAGCTCCCAAACCAGTAACACTTCAACAACTGGTCCACTGTCTGTTTGGCAGAAGGCCCTTGAAATCACTGGAGTTACAGCAAGGAAGATGGCTCCTTGTTTACAATTGCAGAGCCCACATTTTGGTTCCTAGCACACATGGGCCTCAAACAGGCACATCTGAATATTGCAAACATTGGTTAGCGTAGGATGATACTCTGGTCAGAAGCAGCAGCCTCCTACAGCCAGAAGCAGGAGTTTGGGCTCTGACTGTGGGTTTGGACCATTGCCCTAGTGTCACCATGAAATGCAACGCATGGCTCTGAGAGCCTGGGCGGTTCCATGACTGGAGCAGTAAGTACCCTTAAATCCCATCTAATACATGCCCAAGAGGCTGCCTTCAGAGAAACAGGATTCATCTTCATCTCCTTCCTAAGTCACCACAGGGAAGGCCTCCCCAAGCCCATGGACATGCTGTGAGAAGGCATCAGTGCCATCAGGCAGAATGAATCTGGGATTTACAATGCCATCGTTTTCACAGTGTGCTAACACAGACCCAGCTGAATAAATATGAAACAGACTAATCATCTCAGCAGGCTGAAGATTCAGGTAGTGACCTCGGCTGCTGGTTCATACTTATGCCTTATTGGACTTTTTATTATAAGCAAATGTTTCTGCAGCCCAAAGAAGGAAGATTAGGTGGAAGGCAGCTATGGAGTTAATAAAGTTGGTCTTGCCACACACAGACTTAGTGCTCATGGTGCCATTTCTAAGTGATCGCCAATAAACTACATATCCCACTGCAAACTCACATGAGCTCTTTGTATTGAGTAAATCTCAAGGTAGACCTAGTGGTAATAAGTCCTGTCTCTCACCTACAAACACTTTGAGCTATCTAGCTCCCTTACACGGATGACATCATGGAGCCCAAAAAGCAACTTTCAGTCATCTCTAATATTGGCTCAGCAGCCTAAAAAATAACTTTAATATTCAGCATTTTTAAAATGTGCAAAATCACCATTAAAGAAATAAACTGGTTTGTTCCCTCTTACCACCCTTTGATAGCTAATACATGGGGACACAGTTTCCGATTACTCTGTGGCTATACTAGATTTCCATGTGTTCCACTTGCCTGTTTTTTCTTTCTTTGTTTTCTGTAAGAATGGTTCCTGCTCCTATTGAAGTTAATGCCATTTTTTCCATTGACTGCAGTGGGAGAAAGATGTTATCTATTATGCTTCCACTGAAGTAAATGGCAACATTCTTATTGACATTAAAGGCACAAATATTGTAATTTAAGAGTCATATTTACCCTTGAATGGAGAATGTGATTTCCACTGATGCCTGTCAGTGAAGTGGCACATAATCAAGGATACCGTATGGCCCAAAAAGAGCAATGTGATGTAGCAGGATGTCATTTCCAAGGTCAAAGACAACAAGGAGCAGCCACCAAAGCATCTTGTTAAAGATACTGTATTTTATGATATTAAATAGGGGTGGGCAATTAGCGGCCCATGGGCTGGATGCAGTTCGTCAGGGTTAGTTGCAAGCAGCTGAAACCTGTGGACACTCAAGTAAATACAGAGTCTGGCGGCCCACTAGGGCTAGTCATGGCAAACCATGTCCAGCCCATGAGCTGCTTATTGCCCACCCTTAACATACTTTTTACACCGCTTTTCATACTAAAAAATAACTTATTTATAACATTGGTTGGTTGTGTGCCAATATCTTTTTTGTTTCCCTCTCCCTTTTTTCCATTCAAAAATTATAAGACTGAAACAAGGGTGAGCCAGAGCCAATGTGTGTTTGTGAGCGACAGACAGATCAAAGTGAAAGACTGATGTGGCGTCTACACTAATTTAATTTTTCTGATCTCAGGGAGCCTAACACAGTTAGAGCGCGTCGCCCCGAGGCGGTCATGCTTCATTTGCAGATGAGATTCAAAACTCCATTAGGTTCAAAACTCCATCAGTCTGGGTAGGAAATTTAGATCTAGAGCTAAATGTTGGAGATCAACCCATCTCTCATAATTGTCATCTTTGGGGAGCTCTGGGAGACTGGAAACTTCCATGTTTTTTCCTTTATATTCTCCTGAATGTTCTCTAATCTCAACACTCAATAATATTTCTTTCACGTTAATGGTGCAAGTTAGTTGCATTGGGTGTGTATGCAAGTAACTTGATTTGGGCTTATTCAGTCTACAAATGAGAAGAATGAGGGAGGATTTGATAGCAGCCTTTAACTACCTGCAGAGTGGTTCCAAAGAGAATGGAGAGAGGCTGTCCTCAGTAGTGACAGATGGTAGAACTAGGAGCAATGGCATCAAGTTGCAGTGGCGGTGGTCTAGGTTGGATATTAGGAAAAACAATTTTACTAGGAAGGTGGTGAAGCACTGGAATGGGTTACCTAGGGAGGTCGTGGAATCTCCATCCCTAGAGGTTTTTAAGTCCCGGCTTGACAAAGTCCTGACTGGGATGATTTAGTTGGGATTGGTCCTGCTTTGGGCAGGGGGCTGGATTTGATGACCTCCTGAGGAATCTTCCAGCCCTAGGATTCTATGATTGTATGATTTGAGACACTTTTAGGACAGAAGCAAGTCTGACATCCCATCAAAAAAAAATGTGCCAAATTAAAATCAAATAACTGCCATCTTTAAACTCTGTCTCAGGGGCTTCATGTACAAAAATCAGAAACTAATTTAGCTGCTATGGTGGTAGAGCTGGTGTCATTCCACAGTTCCAAATGGCAGAAGGGCTTGTCCGTACACTTTAGGATTCAGATATTAATAAAAAGTTTCAGAAGCATCTATAATTTGAGGCAATACTCCGTGTGCCTTATCTTTTATGAACAAAACTACTGTTGACATTGCTCTAATTTCTCCTTAATGTGGATATGCCTTGAAATAAGCATACATACTGCTTAATATGTATCAACACGGAGATCAGGCATAGTGTAAACTAAAGAGTGAAGCACCTTCTCATAGACAGAGCTCTGAAATACACAATGCTTAAGATTCTTTCATGTATAGCTTTTAAACAATACAGGGGAGGGATAGCTCAGTCGTTTGAGCATTGGCCTGCTAAACTCAGGATTGTGAATTCAGTCCTTGAGGGGGGGGGTCATTTAGGGATCTGGGGCAAATCTGTTAAGGGATGGTACTTAGTCCTGCTGTGAGGGCAGGGGACTGTACTCGATGACCTCTCAAGGTCCCTTCCAGCTCTATGAGATAGGTATATCTCCATATATATTATAAAACAGCTTCCTGGTGAAATTAGACAAGAGTTTTTGTAATAGTATCTGGCAAACCCTTATATCCCGTGGAGCCTTGTATGTTTGTAAAAGAACAAAATTAGAAGTGAACTCTGAAGTGTACCATGGCAGTACTAGAGTCTGCTCCAAGTAACTCAAATTGACTGGAATTGCTGCAAGTAGTCTGCTATGGGTAATTCATAGTTCATCACTATTACAGATAGCACTTAAGCACATGCCTAAATCCCACGGAAGTAAATGGGATTTAAGCACATACTTATAATTAAAAACTTGTATATATGCTTTCCTGATTCAGAGCCATTTATATATATTGAAATTATTATACTATAGTGCCTATAATTCTTTTTTTATATGCCATCTATTTTAGGGATCCTGTGAAACCAAAGAAGCCTAGCACTGTATGGACACTATCCCACATGAATTTCTGTACAAGTACTCATGCATTATCAGCATTAATACAGACTATGTGTTATATCTGAAATGCTCACTGACCTCTGCCTACAGTCCAGGTATCTCTTCCAGGAAAAATGATTCTTAAACCTGGGAGTCTGACCTCTTACACTGTTTCACTTGTGGTTTTTGTTCAATTAAATGGCTATTATTTTCCCTCTGTAGAAAATACTTTCTTCTATTAGGCCTCTTTAAATCCCCTTGCTGAGGCAATGTGTGCTCAGATACAATCATCGGCCTAAGTCCTGCAGAACCCTTACTCATGTGAATAAGCCGTAGACATGCAAAACTCCTGCCATCCGTGAGTATTTGCAGGAACCAGTTCTTAGACATGTCACTTTACAGGCAATTCATGAAGAATGCCTAGAACGGGTCTAACTTTATAAGGTTCCGCTAAGAGGTTTTGGGATTTTTTTAATTATCTGAGCACTGTTCATGGCAGATGGAAAACTATCTACTTCTGCTTAAACTATCCAGATAGCGAGTTGCATAAAGTTCCATTCAGTTTTTGGGTTCCTGCTTTGTCTCATGCCAAACTGATTATGACAGATCCTGGAAAAGAGAAACTGAGTTTTCCCATGCACCACACAGTAAGGGGAGCTGATAGTCTGGGGGGGTGGGGGCAGCAGCTCTGTGTTCCCGGAAGGGTGAGGCCTCAGGCAGAAGGGGCAGGGCCAGGACAGCCATCCCTCAGTGCCTCTCAGATTGCAGAGCTCCCCCCAACCCTCAAAGCCACCCAGAGCGCACTGTGCGCTGCTCTGGCAGTGATCTAAATGGCCCGGGGCTCCGTCTGCTGCCACGGTCGCAGTAGTAGCAGTGGCAGCAGGGAGCTCTGGGCCCTTTTGAATTGCCAGGCCCTGGGGTAACTGCTCATTTTGCCTCCTGTCAGCGGGCCTACTAACAGTATTGCTGTCAGAAATAGGCCTCATATATGCTTATAGATATACAAGACTTGGATTTCCTGGTGAGCTATTGATGAGCGTTCTGCACTGCTGTAAGGAAGTCCCAGATTTAGTTTTCAGTGCTAACCTCTTGCCTCCTAAATTGACAGGGATTGGGGGAGGAGTGGCAAGTCTCTCAGACCATGGATGGCGAGGGAACATCTTGTGTCACTCTAGTGATCACTCACCTGCCTCAGTTAAGAAGCATCATTGTCATTGGACTCCTTCTCAGTCATCTTTAACAGGGAGGATGGTGGCTACCATTCAGGGCAGAGTCTTTAGGGAGGCCCTGTGGAAAAATTAGTAGTGGAGGTCTTCAAGACTCCCAAAAGGAATGCAGAAAAGATAAGAGGAAGTAAGTTTCTACTGTGCCAAAGGTAAATTTAACTTCTCCATGTAACAAAGGCTAGAGTCAATAATGTTGGTGGCATAAATAATTTGCTCTATGATGCCTTTATACTTAGAGAGCCATATTTTCAAGAATAGTCTCTAAAATAGCACCCACATGATCATACACCCGAGCACCATCACCTAAAATAACCAGATTTGCGCCCCCAAACAGCAAAACCTTGCAGTTGTGTAGCGCATCCTGTCAGTGGATCTGAAAGCACTTTATAGACATGAATGAACATTTGGCCTCACAACACCCTCTGCCAAGAAACTAAGAGACCTGCTCCAGTTCATACACCAAATCTGGCAGAGCCAAGAGCTGAACTAAAATTACTGAACAGCACTCCTGTGCTTTGTCCCCAAAACTGTCCCTCCCCAACATGGAGCTTTAAGCATGAAGGAACATGAACCTTGATCCATCTGAACTGCAGTTAAATAACTTAATATAATAGATCAAATGTGCATTGAACACCAAAGTGGTCAGAGAGTTACATATTTAAATTAAGTTTTTTCATGGGAACAAATTATTGCTCCTGCAAAATTGTGGGTGCAAATAATTGTGGACTCAAGACTGTAGGTGCAAATTTGATGCAAAATAACTCAAACTTCTGGGTAACTCCAAAATGTGTTTTGAATCCGCTCACATTCAGCTTGTTTTAAAAAAACTTGCATTAAACACAACACCATATGAGTCTAAAAGACAGCGCCAATAGAGAATGTTAATGGTAGCAATGGAAAAAAACAAAAATATGAATGACAAGGAAGAAAACTGTCATTCTATAGCCAAGCATTCATGTCGCATCCAATATCACAACTTTATAACAGTTTCTAATGACAACAGATCGCAAGGACATGAAATAATAAGCATATCTGCTTAAACAAAGCAAAAATAAAAGCAAAAACAAAACAAAACAAATAAAGCAGGGGTAGTTTGCATGGACTGTATCCAGATAAAGTTTTCAAGGAGTCAGGTTCACTGAAAGAATAGAGGCAATATCAATTAACCTATGATATTAAAGCCTAAGCATAGTAAAAACCACCAGCACTTTGTAAATACATGAACTCTGCATTCTGCACAAGTCAGTAATTAATCAAAATGAAAGGTTTCTCTAACTTCCATACCAGTTTGTTTTCCCCCTGATATGACATTCCTAAAATACAGTCTTTTGAATATCACAAAGTTCCATTTGTAATATAGTTAGAGCATCTGGCCATACTTAGGAGTATTGAATTGTATACACCAAAAATGAAAGTTTAAACGTTACAAAAAACTATCAAAACATTCATTATTTTGAATTGATTTCTCTTCAGTTTGGCAGTGATGACATGATTTCTAAACATAGTTATTACTGCTTTGCAATTGGCTTTTTTTTGTAAATTTTTCTGAATGTGTTTTTTAAACAAAAGAAAATTACCAGCTTTTATAAAAAAGGAGCTTGTATACTTACTCCCAAAACACAGATACAAGTTTTTTTGTTTTTTTTTATAAAAAAGTGTATTGGTTTCTTGCTACAAAAAGCGACCTAAAGGTGTCAGACCTGAAAACAAATTCTCACAGTGTTTTCAGTGTTGGCTGTTTACAAGGCATTGATACTGTAAGCAGAGATAGAGAGATACCACATGGCAGGTATGATAACTTGATATCAGCCAGCATTATCTTTGGGTTATATGGGAAATCTGGTTCACCAGACACTCAGCTGACATATCTTTGCTTATTTATTAGAAAAAGACCCAATACATGAATTTATAATCACTGTGCTATAAAAATTTCACTTAGCATCTTATGCAGCATTTCTCAATCTTGTCCTAACTCCTTTGTTTCACATTCTGCTGGCATCTTAAGCATTGTTTACCAGAGTAATAAGTCATCTGCCTCCCCACCGTTCAGCAACACAAATTGGTGCTAGAGAGCATGCAGGTCTAAAACCAGGGATGCAAAATTAGGAGCAGATCTGCTTTCAAAGAACTGCTAGCATGTATCAGCATTTTGAAAAGATGGAAAATAGTATTTGTTTTCTTTTAGCTTTAGAATTGATCAGTGAAATATTTACGTGTTTCTAGCGGGAACTGTCAGCTGTTTTGCAGTCAATAGTAAATTCAAGAAGTTAGAGTGGAGAAGAAAAAATTGAAGTAAAGGGGAAATGTACGAGCTCATTGGCTTCGGATTGCTGTCAATGCCCATTTTGCATCCCTATAATATAACTCAGAAGGATGGTATCACTCTATCCCTATTAGTTGATAGGTGTCGATTTGTGGCACAGAGGATAAATCACGGAAAAAAAATGACATATAACTTTGTGTCCTTTGATTTGAAAGCACCAGTCACTCATCTGCTTCTTTTGGCAGAAGTACTGTACTGTATCTTAACATCGCTTGTACTATGGACAATTAGCATTGTGTTCCTTTACATGGAATCTCCGAGAGAATCTGAGTCATCCAAGGACAGAGGCAGGTACAAATCCTGTAAGAAGAAAGAAAAAAGTGTTAACCCCCACAATCAGTTTCCAGCTTCCTCTTTTAGCAGGAAGACAGCTCTATGATTCAGTTTGGTGAAGTCCCACTTCCTCTGAACAAGGTGGAAATCTCTTTCATGGGATTTCAAATGGACAAACCTATTCTCTGAGGGTACATCTACACTAGCTCGTTAGTTCGAGCTAGGTAGGGTAATGAGGGCAAGTGGAGTTGCAAACGAAGCCCGGGATTTAAATATCCCATGCTTCATTAGCATGTTCCCGGGCGCCGCCATTTTTAAATCCCCCTTAGTCTGAACTCTGTGCCCATAGCTACACGTGGCACAGAGTAGGTGGTTCGGATTAAAGATCCTAATTCCACAAGGAGTAACGGTAGTTCGAATTAGGATCTTTAATTCGAACTACCTACTCCGTGCCGTGTGTAGCCGCGGTCACGGAGTTCGGACTAAGGGGGATTTAAAAATGGCGGCGCCCGGGAACATGCTAATGAAGCATGGGATATTTAAATCCCGGGCTTCGTTTGCAACTCCACTTGCCCTCATTACCCTACCTAGCTCGAACTAATGAGCTAGTGTAGACGTACCCTGAGCCAGCAGTTTACATGGAGCAGGAAGGTCTAACAAAAGGCAGCAGTGGTAACCTGAGAAGAACCTATTTACCAAGTCTCACTCCATGTCAATCTGAGCTAGATTTTGCATGAATCAACAGAAATTTTGATCAAGTCAATTTGAACATAGGTCAAGTCAGATCAGTTTGAACCTAGAATAAAGAAAGTTGCTTTTTTTGCCAGCTGCCCTGATTCAACTTCTCTAGAAGAGCTATTTCCAGGGAGTTGAGAGCGATACTTTATGCTCTATCACAGAGGTTTTCAAACTATGGGTTGTGATCCAGTAATGAATCATAGAATCATAGGGCTGGAAGAGGCCTCAGGAGGTCATCGAGTCCCGCCTTCTGCCCAAAGCAGGACCAATCCCGATTAAATCACCCAGCCTAAGCTTTGTCAAGCTGAGACTTAAAAACCTTGAGGGATGGAGATTCCACCACATCCCTAGGTAACCCATTACCTAGGTAACCCTAGGTACTTCCCCACCCTCCTAGTAAAATTGTTTTCCCTAATATCCAACCTACACCTCCCCCACTGTAATTTAAGACCATTGCTCCTTGTTCTGCCATCCGTCACTACTAAGAACAGCCTCTCTCCATCCTCTTTGGAACCTCCCTTCAGGAAATTGAAGGCTGCTATGAAATCCCCCTTCACTCTTCGCTTCTGCAGACTAAATAAGCCCAAATCCCTCAGTCTCTCCTCACAGGACATGTACTCCAGGCCCCTAATCATTGTGGTTGCCCTCCGCTGGATTCTCTCCAATGCATCCGCATCCTTTCTGTAGTGGGGGACTCAGAACTAGACGTACAACTAGGTTGTAGAATGTCAGGCATTGGGTCTCCTTGCTGCAGAGTAATCACGTGACCAGTGGGGGTGCTTAGGAAGGCTACCTGCCTGTCCTGGCACCGAGACCGCACTGCGCCCGGCTTCTAGGTGGGGTAGGGGAAGCACACAGGGCTCCATGCACTGCCTCAGCCCTGAGCACCAGCTCCAAACTCCTACTGTCTGGAAACCTGCTGCTGGCTGCTTCTGGCATGCAGCGTGATCTGCAGTGCCAGTACAGGCAGGAAGCTGCCTTTGCACCCCCACTGTACCACTGACTGGGAGCTGCTCATGGTAAGCCCCTCCTGCCCCTACCCTGCCCTGCCCCTCCTACACTGGATCCCCCTCCTACAAGCCAAAGTTCTCATCCTCAGCTCCACCCCAGAGCCCACACTCTAGTCAAATTATGTTGGGTCGCAGGCATCAACCATTTTCTTCAGCTGGGTCATGGAAAAAAAAAAGGTTGAAATCCACTGCTCAACTACGTTCCTTAATTTCAGCCCATAATAATTATACATGAATAATTAGAAGGCTTTAAAAATTAGTCCAGGTGACAACAGTTGGTTCTGGCTCTGAACTTCAAAGGCTTTGATCTGGTCCCACCTCTTAAAAGGCCCCAAATGGATCCGTGGATCACCAAAGAAGGTTAAAGCTCTCCTTGTACTGAATGCTGCATCATGCCCAGGGAAGGACTTTTATCAAAACACAGCAAAGCACAAAGAATTTGACAGGGGTTCCATACAGATCTCAAGCCTCAAAACCAGGGGCTGGGGTGGGGGATTTCCCAAGAAAACAGATAAAACAGAATTTTAGAGTTTATGAAGGCCAGAACTTTTACTTTGTAACTTTCAGAGGAAAGGATAAAGCTGTTTTTCTTTATCAAAAGCTAGAATAACTCCTGGAAATGAAACAATGCTGCATGAATGTTCCAGTAACCTAAGATGTTGCATTCATATCACTGTTAATTCAGTGGAGAAGCCTGTTGTTGATAAGCTCTTCCTCGAGTAATCAATTGTAAATTTTCTATGGGAATTCACTAGAATGGTCATGAGGCAAATAGACAATGACTATAAATGAAACATTAAACAAGATGAGTTTATAATTTTAATTACAAGTTGGAGGGAACCCCAACCGCTATAATATTTGGAAAGCATTTTTAAAATCCTTGATTACTGAGCTATAAAAGGGAGTTTACAAGACCGGAAAAATATATGAACAACTGCCCTGTGCGAGCTGTGGACCAGGAACTGCTCCTATGAGACAACTGACTGGTTGCTACTTAATGCCCGCTCATTCCACCAGCAAGAGATACTTTAGACAGAGATTATGTGCCTGAGGAAGTATTGATACAGCACTATTAAACATCAGACATTCAATAAGAATTACTCAGAACTACTTTTGAAGCCTATGCATTGCACTTTGCACACACATCCAATTGCACCAATACAAGAGCCTTTATGTAACCCACGCACTTTTAGGGTGTGGTGGCCACCCAGTGGCACTAAGACCACTTACAAAGGGAAGACTGAGTCTGCTCTATAGCCTTAGTTGAGAGCCAGCTGGCTTTTAGCTCATGCACTAGAGGCTCATGCACTAAGATCCAAAGGTATCAGGTTCAGTTCTGCCTGTTGGTATTACATGTGTACTAACACCTATATGTACAAGGAAATACACTTCTGTGTGCCCTAAATTGATTCACACACTTTGGTAGCCACCATCAAAAAGTGAGTATTCAAAGAGCAGACTCAGTGCGGCTAAAAGTTTAGCATTGAACATAAGAACGGCCATACTGGGTCAGACCAAAGGTCCATCTAGCCCAGTATCCTGGCTTCCAACAGGGGCCAATGGTAGATGCCCCAGAGGGAGTGAACAGAACAGGGAATATTCAAGTAGTCCCTCTCCTGTCACCCATTCCCATTCTGTCAGAGGCTAGGGACACCATTACTACCTGTCCTGGCTAATAGCCATTGACAGACCTAACCTCCATGAATTTATCTAGTTTTTTCTTGAACTCTGTTAAAGTCCTGGTCTTCACACCCTCCTCTGGCAAGGAATTCCACTGGCCAACCATGCACTGTGTGAAGAAAAACTTGATTTTGTTTGTTTTAAACCTGCTACCCATTAATTTCATTTGGTGTCCCCTAATTCTTATGTTATGGGAACAAGTACATATTTTTTCTTTATTCACTTTTTCCACACCAGTCATGATTTTATAGACCCCCCTTAGTCGCCTCTTTTTTAAGCTGTAAAATCCCAGACTTTTTAATCTTTCTTCATATGGGACCTGTTCCGATCCCCTAATCATTTTTGTTGCCCTTTTCTGAACCTTTTCCAATGCCAATATATATATTTTTTAGATGAGGCAACCACATCTGCATGCAGTATGCAAGATGTGGGCATAACATGGTTTTATACAGAGGCAATAAGACATTCTATGTCTTACTCTCTATCCCATTTTTAATGATTCCTAACATTCTGTTTGCTTTTTTGACTGCCGCTGTACATTGCATGTATGTTTTCAGAAAACTATCCACAATTACTCCAAGATCTCTCTCTGGAGTAGTTATAGCTAAAGTAGTCCATATCATATTGTATGTATAGTTGGGATTTTTTCAAGTGTGCATTACTTTACATTTATCAACATTAAATTTGTTGCCTGGTCACTTAATTTGGTAAGATCTTTTTGAAGCTCTTCACAGTCTTTGGTCTTAACTGTCTTGAACAGGTCAGTATCATCTGCAAATTTTGCGCCATGTCATTAAGTGACACCCATTAGCTTTAGCTTCTCCATTAGCTTTTGCAGCGGTGGTGTGCATGTGTCAACAAAAGCTCCGATGGGCAATGAGAGGAGCCAAAGTTGTGGGTCTGGAATTTCCTTCTGATGACTTATTCCCTGCAGCAGTGGTTCACAGGGATATAGCAACCCTTTATTTGTTTGTCTTATTCCAATTGTCCAGGGGGACTTGGCGAGAACCATATGTACCAAGCTGACTATGTGAAAACAGGCACAAGCTCTTCCTAAGACCAATCCTAAACACAGCTGCAAAGGAACCAGCCATCTGACAAAGCCCTCACTTGTGTTACCTTCAGTACAAAGCACCCCGAAGTCAATGCTTTTGACTTGCTACTTTATTCACCCACAAAGTGCATTTACAAGTATTCATAGGGGATGTTTAGTCTTTGAAAACAAAAAGATTCTAGGTAATGGGCCAGATTCTGTGACGGTGTAACCCCTGGAGTTAAGCCACCCAAGAATGTGGCTTTGTTTTAGCCATTTTGTCTCCATGTCTAGGTATATGTAGCTAGAAACAGTTTTAGTAAGGTATAAGAAACGTAATACCTTGTGCTTGCGGAGGCTGCCTGGACTGGTGGGTGTGGAGATTGGAGACTGCTTGGATTTAGGTGTAGACAGTTGACTGCTTGATGTTCCATTTGCTGTCATAAAACAAGACAGAAGTCAAACAATGTATTCATACAGAAAAGCAAGAAGCACATTATTTGTTCTGCTTCAGGGAGATGGAAAACATCCAGCTTGATAACATATAAAAGCTTCTGTTGATTTCATCTATAATTCAGGCAAGGAGAAAAAAATCAAAAGAACAAAATAATTATTCACCGGATTGAATGTTTCAGCTGTTCTTGATACAGAGCACTGCCACAGCTGGGAGGCAATGTTTTACTTTCTAAGCATTATCACACAGTTACCAAACTGATTCAATGTTGTAATTGACAATAAAAACCCACTGTAAGATTTCCAGACTTTCAAGCAGTTTAACCACACAGTAATTTGATGAAAATCAAAGTCTATAATGGCCTAGACCTTTAACTTCAAATACCATTTGAACCTCCCTGGTCTGGTGCTGTCAGGATCTGACCAGTCCTGAACAAGAGAATTTGCCTGGCCAAGGGCAAACCAGCCCCAAGGCAGCCGGTCCCATGTCTCTGGCCCCCTCTAGCTCCTCCCCAGCCAGGTCATCTGCCCTGCTATTGTTGGCCCCCTGGCCTTGACCCTACACTGCCATGAACAGCCAATTTTATCCATCTCCCAGTTCAGTGCTGTCACAGGCGACCAAGTATTCCCAGCCCTGTGCAGCTGCGGGCAGCCAGGTTTTCCCAGCTCTGCACTGCTGTGGGCGGCTGGGCTTTTTCAGCCTTGTGCTGCTGCAGCTCTCCAGCCCCAGCCTCAGCCCCAGCCCTGCTGTGGGCCTCCAGCCCAACTGCCCCCAGCCCCAGCTGGCCCTTCTGCCATTAAGCTCCCAGGCTCTCTGGTCTAGGAGCCTCCATGGTCCTGCTGGACCACAGATGTTGCTGGTCCAAAGAGTGCAGGTGTTCAGAGATGCAACGTGTATTATCCAATGAGTTCATATATTAACTATAGAGTTTATGTAAAACTAACTATAGAGTTTATGTCTCTTAAGCCCACAGACTGTACTCAGTGCTACGGACCCTTGAAATGTCAGCCACCATAGAGATGTAGGCAAAGACATAGCTACACCCATTTGACCATTGCTCAGGACTAGAGAGTGGGCAAGTGAATGGAGGAATGAGTACTGTACCCCTCTGAAGATGGTGTAGAAAGAGTTTATCTCCAGTAGCTCTTCTGTGTAGCCTACAGGGCTAACCTGCTTGCTTATCTTTAGATATATACATTTATTATTTCCTATGGTTTTGATTATATTGGCACTTTGGCTGTAACACAAGAGACTTACAGGCCACATCCTGTATGTTGAGGTCCGGCAATGTTAGCATTTTTGTCTGGGACCTTTCACTCTGATAGCACAGTCAGCTCACATACGTTCAGGACCTTTCACCTACATAGATGGTGATAAGACAGAGTGACTTTCCATGGTATAGGGGCTTCCAAGAATACCCATAGCAGGTACATCATTACTTAGAAAAACCCAAAATAACCTGTTGAGACCAGACCAAATTACCCAGTAGGAGAGAACTAATGAATGTGATAGACAATCACAAAAGGCCCATGCTAACGAATTGAATGATAATAAGTTGAGATAAATGCTATACTGACCTATTGGAAAAGTACACTTCACCATTCATAAGGTGAGGAAATACAAATAAGGAGAAAAGGAGCTATCCCCTACTGAATATGCATCAAACATAACAATGCCAGTGTCACATAGTATAAAAGTGGCATCCCAGCATAGCAGTGGTGGGAGAAGAAGATGTCATCCTTGGGAGGTGCCAGGATGATGGCCACTGGTGATGATGGGGAAGATGCAGGTGATGAGGAAGATGATGGCTCTCTCTCAGATTGTTCTAGGAGGAATGGTGTGAGTATATGGTGTGGAAATGTAGCTGTACATTCCCTATGTATCTTATGAAATTGGGGTGTTTGTGACTGTGCTAAATGTATTAATAAACTATATTCACAATTATACAAGAGTTCCTATAGTGTGAGTGTTGCATCTGTGCACATCAAGGCTCCCAACCATACAATAAGGCTATGTCTACACTCGCAGCTTCTTACGTCAAAAGAATGCAAATGTGGCTAAGTGTGGAATATCGCTGAACCTCATTTGCATACCTAATGAACCGCCATTTTTGTAGAAGAGGCTCTTGCACCAGAAGGAGCTGTCTATACTGCCCCTTCTTGTGCAAGAAAAACCCTCTTGCGCAATGCCGTTATTCCTGAAAATAATCGGCATAACGGCATTGCGCAAGTGGGTTTTTCTTGCGTAAGAAGGGGCAATGTAGACAGCTCCTTCTGGTTCAAGAGCCTTTTCTGCAAAAATGGCGGTTCATTAGGTATGCAAATGAGGCTCGGCGATATTCCACACTTAGCCTCATTTGCATACTTCTGACACAAGAAGCCGCGAGTGTAGACATAGCCTAAGTGAATACTGGGCCTGATCGTGGGACAAAGAACCTGTCAGCCCTTAAGGTGGGAACTGGAAATTCATAAGCAATCTTAGATCAGGCAACACCTGCAAGGTAGTTTCACTCAACACCCAGCACAGGCCTGTGTGTCCAAACTATAACCTGGCCTTCTGGGGTTTCATAACCACTAAAGAAAACAAAATTCTTCCCAACTTTCTAAATCATTAAAAAAATAAACTTCTCTTAAACCTAACCACTGACAAAATGTTAGAGGGTGAATCTGTGCTGTGTACACACACCCAATCAAAACAAAATAGCTGTGGTCTACATCAGAAACAGCTATAATGGATGTATACGGCAAATAAATAAATAAACAAACCCACCAAATTACAACAAACAAAAAACAAACTACAGTTAACAAAAATGTAATGAGGGAAATTGAAAAAACGTATTGTCACTCATGTTCTTTAAAGTAGTGCATAACTAGCACATTTACTTGGCATTGCTCAGGTCCTTAAGGAGGGCCTCAGGGCAGGGGTGTGTGTGTGTGTGTATAAGGCGGTGGGCTGATGGGATGGGGTTGCCCCCAGCCAGCCCCTTTCACCTGCCTGGTGATACAGTCTCTTTTCTGTATGGGTGTAACACAGTGCAACTCACTGCCACTGGCACCTCCTGCTGGACACTCTGGAACTTAGCTTTTTAGCCCTTGAGCACCCCCTTCCAATTGGTGTCATGCCTGCTGTTACCTGTTTTCCTCCACTGCTGTGTATTAAGACCCATGTGCTTCCCACACGATGGCATCCTCCCACCTGTGTACTGCCCTACCACAGTGCCCCCACACTCTGGGGTTCTCCCGCTCTGGGTACCCCCAGCCTCCTATGCCCACGTTGCCTCAGTGACCCTACTGCCAGTCTTCATGTAAGCCCATGCCTCAAGGGCAAACTACAGTCTGAAATAGCTACTCATCATTGGCAAGGGGGTGTGGACCTGCTGCCTTTGCCTACACTGACTGCCCCCCTGCAGCCCTAGTAACTTTAGGCCTTGCTTCAGGTCCCGCAATCTGGGAGCTTGCCTGGCCAGAGCTTTCCCAGCTCTGTCTGCCTTTCCCCAGCCCTGCTCTAGCTTCCCTGGCAGCAAGGTCCCTCCTGCTCCTCATCTAGAGCAAGAGTGAATCTGAGTCTCCTCCCCTCCAGGAGCCTCTCTTTATAATGCCCTCAGCTGCACCCTAATTAGCTAGTACATGCCTCAGCTGTGGGGCTTTGCTCTCTTAGCCCTCTCCCAGGGCTGGGTTTTACCCTTAAATGGCCACTGAGGGGCAGATGCCCCATCACAATAGGTTTATGAGAAGCAATCCCATTCCAGCCACATCCCATTTTCCTGGCACTGACAAATCCTTACCTTGCTTTAAGTTATAAGAGGAAAACGTATACCGAATTTGGTTGTCGTAGCTCTTACTGTTTAAGGAAGAGTTTTTGATCAAACAGACAGAAAAACTCTCTGAAATATTTCATAATTATGTGTTTCCTTTGTGTGAATTTGGTAATATTTTTGTTAGATTATATATTCTGTGCTTCAATTCCGGGGAGATAACTCCTGATACTGTTCTTGTTCACATGGCTTTTGATGGTATAACTCCATTGGTTTTGGTGGACAGGAATTCAGAGTCAAGCTGATAATGTCTAAGTATATTATCTTTTTGGGTCCTTCAATTCTGAGTAATCCAAGCTGGGGTAAGGTGGAGGCATTACTTAATCAAGTATTAAACATACGTTTCCCATCCAAATCTACATAACATGACATAATGGGCGGCGAGTATAAGAGGCAGGGAAAGGCAATGCCTTCCCAAACTTCCCAGTTCGGCTCTGCCCATATTCTACTCCCAACCCCCATCCCCTTCAGCCAGTCTCCCTCAGTCTCCCAGGCTGTCTGGACTTTAACCCTGCTGAGGTTAGGGGGGGACCATGCTACCAGCCCTCCTGGAATTGAGGAAGCTGGGGCTGGGGGAAAGACTGTGCCCCAGGAGCAGGGGGACAGCTTGTATTCTTGGGCTGGGGAGTGGAGGCTGAGGCTGCACATTGATCATTGGTGGACAGATGGCCTGTGCCTACAGTAGGAGTGTGTGTGCTTGGCTCCATGGGACCCTGGCCAGCAGGGGAAGGGCCTCAGAGGACTGGGGCGGGGCTGGGGGCTTGCCTTGCCCAGACTTAAGTTCACCAACTGCCCATGAATGACATATCAAAACTAAGCCATATGTCTATTCCTTCAGTACAATCCCCAAAACTAAAAATATCCATCGTTTTGATTTTTGCATTCTTAAGTGGCATTGAACATTGCTAACATTCCATAGAAATACATTAAACAGAATGTACCTTTGCCGAGAAAAGAAACAATTTTTAAATTAATTTGAAGTTTTACACAGAAGGTGGATAAGTACAAAGACAGGACTGGTCGTCTTCTTATTTGGGTATGCAAATATATGTGCCTAATTTGTGCCCACGGCTTGTGGGATTAGTGCATGAAATCATGGTAACTGCACCCCATTCTATGTCAATGCGGCTTTGGGGATTACCTGGGGGGGGCGTGGCGTGGGGGCAACA